TTAGGAGCAAGAACACTGAACTGCGCCATTTGTTCATGAAAGCTGCCAGCAGAGGATGTTGGCTGATAAATTGCGAGGGCTGGGAAGAGATGCCTTCAGGGAGCAGGATCTAGGCAGTGCTATAATGTCCTTTCTGCACATCAGAAGGTCCAGACAAGTTGACTCTCAGTGACCTCCATTACATCCAGCACCCCTTGTCAAATGTAAAGCTCATAGCTCTGCATTGCTTTTGCTAATATTATAATCTTCTATTGCATGTAAGGATTTTCTTACATAACTAGCAAGCCTATGTCAACTATATGCTTTGTGGCTTGAGTTCATCACTCATGTTTCCTTTTTTTAGCGTCTCTTGAGGTTTCACACCTCACCTAAGCTGCAAGGGCCATGAACAAAGTATGTGAATATGCAACCACCTGCTGGCAGAGTAAACAGCTGTCAGGCAAGAGGACTGTTATTAAAATGGGTTGTTTTGTTGGCAGAAGTGGCTTTCACTGTTGCCATGGGTTGCCCAAGGTGAGCCTGACCTCTGTAGTCTCTGAAGCTCTCTCTTGTGGGTGAGCTAAGCAATGCTGGAATGCAGCTCTTAAGATGGATTAACTGGGAACCTACCACAGGAAACTGTTCAGAGACGGTTAAAAAAACTACATTGCACAACTAAGGATGAAACATACCTTTTGATACCATAGGATAAAAGTTCCAAGGCTTAGAAAGTGATTATTTGATAGGGCTGTAGTTGGCTTGTCAATGCAGAGTAATAATGTTTGCAGCGTCCTCTTGGGGCAAAATTCTGCCTTTCCAGGTGCAAGGAAGGGCAGGCGTGTGGCCGATGGACAGAGACGGGACTGCACTTTCCCCTGTGAGCGAGTAAGGTAACAAAACCAGGCAACCCACCTAATCCTTCTCCGCCAGAGCAGGTCTCCACAGGTCAGGTCTGTGGCCTTTGAACTCAAAGTCTTGATGCAGTTTTGTATGCCAAGCATGTCATAGCACAAAACCAGCACTATGAAACTAACTTGCAACTGAAATAATGTGCAAAGGCTGTTGTTCCTAAGAAACACCAGTCATCCACCCAAGTGAAATTCTGATTTGCTAGCTGCACCCTGGCAACATAATGTATTCATAAGGCCTAAGGATAAACATGAATTGAGGCTTCTGGAAAAGGACATCTTTGTTCTTGCTCGGCTTACTAGCTCTCTAGCCACCATCGGCAAATCTCTTAGATATTCTGTAAAATGGCAGATTACTATGCTTTAACTTCTCTGGAGCTCTAACTCTTTGGGAGAGCTGCAGGGGTGGAACCGTTGGAGCCAACTTAAGCTTTCTGTTTGATAGGGGTGGATGGTTGTTTGGTTTTGGTTTTTTTAAGATGGTTCTTGTGCCTTAAGTATTTCACTTTAGAACTGTGCTATGGTAGGTATTGGCTCGCTGTTACACTACAGCTAAGAAAAAAGTTTCTACCACAGATATTACAAGCAAATCAGTTTGAAGATTTTTGCTTTCTGAGCTAAAGTTACTACTAGAAGGCGCAGCACAGTGCAAGACACTGTGTGCTGGGCTGTGCAAATACGTATTAAGCCACTGGCACTGCCACAAAGAATGTACAGAGCAGGACTACAAAGCATGAGTTAGTTATGAATTACACATACAAATGAAGAAACACTTTCTCAGTCTGATTCTTGCTTACCATTACAGGATTCAAATCTAAAATGAGACAGATTCTAGGTGTCCATGTGATGAACCAAAGAATCTGAGCTTGGTGCCAGTGGAGCCTCCATGGTAGGGAGTGATTGTGAACACATTTATTTGACTAGTACAGACAAAGCCTGTGTGTAATTGAGGAAGACAGGGCGCCACAAACATCACTGATCCTTATCCTGCCCCCTTCAACTTCAACTGAATTCCATAATCAGCACTTACATCACTGAGAGGTTGGAAATATTACCCAGGCCTCTCCTTCAGCATTACGATATCTCAAACGAGTCTCTGCCTGTAAGTATCTGCTTTCTTCAAAACAAACTTTCACCCTGCCCCGTGGGTAGCTCGGCTTAAGTCAGCAAACTGCCAGCAAAATTTTGGAATTTAGAAATAGCTTCAGCTCAGACCATTTCTGTCTTCAAATCAGTTGGTTTTACAATTATCTGTGATTCCTTAAAGTACTACCACTCAGCATCCAGCTGGCATCCATTTGACTACGGTTGCTGCTGGAGGGGCGGAGGCGGGAACCAACCAACCGCCCCCGTTGCCAATTCAGCAAACAGAAACTACCGCACGCCACCTCGTGGCCCTGCACAGCTATTTCCCGGGAAGAAACGGAGCTCCGGTTGCGACAGGGAGGTTTGATGTTGGACGGGGTGGATTTAAAAGATGGCTGGCTGGGGCTCAGGGACAGCCCCCTGTATGACCCCACCAGAGCGATGTCACCTTCAGCACTTTGTTCACGCTCCCGCCGCGACCTCGCAGCCTGAGCGGCTGTTTCCTGGAGCAGCAGCAGAGCCTCGAGCTGCAGCATGTTCCTCTTCAGCATGCGCGCACCCTTTCCCCAGCAGAGCTGTAGAAACGGCCCTGCGCTCACAGCAAACGTACCTACCGCTGAACTCCAGCCTTTGGTGCAGCATGACCCATTTTACAGTCACACATATGTCAATCATTCTTAATTATATGCAAGGCTGGGTATGTTCATGATACATCTGTCGTCTTGTCTGCTGTCAGTACTTACTAAAGAACTCCATGTGTCAAATGTTTTAAATAAAGCTAATATGCCTATTTGTAACTGTTCATTAACAGTTTATACATGAACTCATGGAAACAAGGTGACATTGGCTGTCAGTCCCTTGGTGTATCTTAAGGCCTTAACCCTTCTTACTCTCTTTTTTGGGGAAAAGGAGTCATTAGGAGACCCTTGTCAGAGTGATTAAGGTACAATTTTACTAAATCTAGTTGAGGGAGTTACAAAACAGGGACAGAGTGGAATCATAGGACTTCAAGGTCCATCCTTGCTTCTATTTTAAATGGTAAGTTTTTGACTTCTCAATGTTTATGACTTTTTAGCTGGGAGATTACAGATTAAAGTCTGTACCACTGAATCATCTCCAACTGTGAGGTCATGTTATCTTTAGCAGAACTGCTGGTTACACTTAAATACTGCCTTACAGAATTCCACTGATACCTATCAAAAGGTTGGATCTATAAAGTCAGCAACAAGGTACCTTAAAATAAGCCAACACAAGTGCACGACTTCAGACAGCTACTAGAGACTACTGCACAACACCTACAAAAGCTTGTAGCTTGCAGTAAAAGCACAGAAAATGCCAGCTAACTTCAGATGTTACTCCAAAGGACTGTAAGAACAAAAAAACCCCTACCCAAGGATTCTAATTCAAGATATGTGATTACAATCAGCAATTGCTCTAAATCTGGTATGTGACAGACTGCTATTTCTGCTGGTTTTGGGTTAGATAAGGAAAATAATAATAATTACTCTAGCTGTGGAAGCATGTAAGGAAGTTACAGAAACTGTTAGACCTGTGAGGCTTTATGAAGCTCAACACCACAGATTTTCTCTGTATACATCCAAGAAAAGAGGGAACATCCTTTTTCTCATGCCAAGGTTCAGTTCTGAGGTGTGTGATACTGGATTTACCACGGTAAATCAAAAATACATTCTGAGCAACATTGACCCCCCTACTTAACAAGACAGAGGGACTTCACACTCTAAGCAGCTAAGAAAAGAAACTGCTCAGTGTGGAAAACACAAACAGTATTTGGGGCCTGTCTTTAACACAGGCTTTTGACAGAACAGGTGATGAGGAAAAGTGCAGTAATGGGGCAGAGGAATGACAAATATTTAAGTGATAGAGATGAGACAGGACAACAGGTATTAGATAAGGCTTCCACTTGAACTAATTCTTTGAGACATTATGATCAGCAGTTAGATGCAACTACTACTGCAGTGATCAGGCACACTGCATTGCCAAAAGGCGTTATATGTAGCTGTTGAGACAGACTTTCACTCCAGCCTGCTGATGGTATGGCTAAAATTTGCATATGCTTGTAGCAAACACGTATAAATAAAATTCCAGTAGTATAGAAGGACTGGAGTAGTACAGAAGAGTTGTCCACATCAACTGTACCTGACACCAGCAGCAAAGGCTATCACCTGCAGTACAGTGCACACACCAGTTTATACAAGTGCATAACCTACAGTTAATCTACAATTTTCATCCTGAACGTGAATTTAAAAAGTCAAGTATGAATCATACGCAGGCAGATTTTATGACTCATTGCTGCAACGGATCTAACCACTAGTGCTGATCCTGCCTGCTATTAAGAAGTCTGGCATTCCCTCTTGGATCCATTCCTCTGGAGGGGAGCTCTTTCACAGATCTGTGCTAGAGCGAGCTGATCTGAAAACAGTTAAATGAGAGTTTAAGCATTAAACAAATAAATGTGCTATTTTGTCACACAAAGGATAAAACTCCAGGAATTTATTGCTGTATGTATGCTTAATCCAGTAATTTGTCTTACAGTAGTCATGAAGTGCCAAACTGTGTGCTACATTTAACATCTCCTGTATTCCCTTCCAAATGCCATTTTACAGTGGGCGTATGAAACGATGCAGCAGCAGTCACAAAACATGGCTTGAACATATCTCAAGAGCTTAAAAATAAAGATTTGTGTACAAGCTGAATAACGAGATTTCAGTTAACAGGTCACTCAGCAACTTTAATAGAAATATCTTTAGGTGGAAATTTTGCAGTGTTCAAATTTACAACTCAGATTAAACATTCTCATCCCCACTGTAGTGACAAGATACTTGCAAAGAACAGGTACTATGGTACGTAAATGTCACACGCAAGAACTGCTTCATTTCTATCAGAAGCAAAAATTGCTAATTATAAGCAAGGACAAGCCTAGCAGGCTAAGGCTGTCAGCCTATATTAAAAATCATATACCTCCGAGTTTGGCAGTGGAATTCTACTTACCACCTTGACTTTTTTTTTGGTTACATACAAGTATTCTTCCTTCCCTCCCACCACATACACTTTATAAACCCCCTTTTATTTTTATTATACCTCCATATTATTTACAGGACTCCTAAAGATTAAGTACAAACTAGTATGAAATTAATGATAGCTTGCTCTTCAAATATGTATCCCATGGCTAAATAAATACCAAGCCAATCCAATAGGGTGATCTGGAGTTATGATTCAGAAGCTTGTGTATCTGTGACTCCAGATGTTTTCTCATTAATTGTAGAGGATTCACTTGATCTGTCAACAATAGTTGCCTTAGAAGTTGGGGTAGCACTATCCAAGGTGAGCATAGATGTCTGTTCTACATTTACAATAGTGCCAGGGTCGACGGAAAAGCTTCCGGCCTGAGTAATGGAGGGAAGCAAATCTGTAGGCACTGTGGACGCCTCTGTGACCAAAGGAAGAAGAGGAACACATTTGGGTGGCATTGATAGAGGTGTTATTCCCATCAGATTCAGAGGCGGCAAGGAGGGAAGGGATGGTAAACCTAAGGGGGAAAAAAAAAAAAAAAAAAAGAAAAGAAAAAAGAAAAGGCAGTGAGTTGCTGCATACCACAGACAGGTCTGGAGAGATTCTCTATTTGCTTAAAATTTTTACCTTCTCTAATCTATTTACTCTTGGAGAGGAGGAAGCTTTTTGAACTTAGTGTGAGCATGATATACACGCAGCATTGACTCTGCGGGCTAGTTTCAAGCCTGATACTTTTCAGATTTCTGAACTGAAGAATCAGAACAAACTCAAGATTGCTTCTACTTCCCCAGAGGACTAGGTATTTAATGCATTAACACTGGAGATTAGATTTTTCTGGCATTCACTGAAACTGCCAGAAACAAGAAGTTAATGAGAGCCTTCCTCCACGTAAGCTTTCAATTGCTTTTTGCTTGCTTCATGATTCTATGTGCACCTTCAGCTGTTTTGTTTTATTTAAAACCATAAATCTAGTATTAGTTTGTACTTTTGGCATTCAGAGATGGCTTCCATCTCCTCACCTAGCATACAAGGAAACACCTCATATTTTCCTCCACCCATAAAGCTATACACTTTCATTCTTGGCACAATCTCTTCTGAGATCATAAATCAGGTAATATAAGATGAAACAACTAAACACAGACACAGGTTTAGAATTAGTTTATCTAAAGACATATTCCTTGTCTACCTAATCTGGGCACTACTGTCAACTCCCATCTCAGGCAAACATTCAATTTATCCTCTTCAAGACTCCACCAGATGGATCTAAATGAGTGTCAAGGATCGTCAAGGAGAGACCTGCTATTGCAGTGTTTCAGTTTGCAGAAGCACATACCAGGCTGTATGATTTCTGGAACGATGTGTGGTGCAGGTAAATTAAGTTTAGACAGATCTGTCAGGTTGGGAAGCCCTGCTGGTAATGGCATCAGACCTAAAAGAAGAGTGGAAAAATTACAGCTGAAAACTTAGAATTTTTTTTCCTAACTGTTTCTGAGATCTTATCAACCATTTAAAGTTATTTTTTATATTGTTTTACATCTTGATTATAATTTTTACATGTAAGAATGCAAATTCACTTGAGTTCCAGCTTTTAAGTCACACAATGAAAACAGACACCTATTGCAGGAAGTCTGAACTGGCAAATACATAATCCCAACCTTTCAGATTTTTCTGAGGAAAGCAGAATCTTACTTCAAGGAATTGGTAGGTTAGCATTCCAAGTTCAGCTTTTAACAAAGGTAGTTATTTCACTACAGCGCTATACCAGAAGCCCTCCATTCCTCATCTGAAGGGCAGAAGATAATAATAGGATGAAATACATAGTATTTCTTATCTCTAGTATTGATTACTCTACTACTAGTCTTTGCTACTTTGTTCATAACTAGAGTTTAACACAAAAATATATAGAAAAGGCAAGACAAGGTAACCTTCAAAGTCACAAATAACTGAAAATAGAAGAGAAACATATGATGAACACAATGTGTGCCCTTCCATCCTAGTGTTTGCTATGGCGCATCTTTCCACTCCTGAATTTCCTGCCTTAGAAGAGCTGCATTTCTGGGACAAGGGCCCTACTTCTACTTTGTGTTTGGCTCAGAGAAGGCTAATTCTGAAACAAACTGTTGATATTACAGTAATAAGATGGGTAGGAGAAAAATCTTAAAGCAAGGCCACTGTACACAGATTTTGATTAAAAATCCATCATCTTTACCTACCTGTGAATTCATTAGCCACAAAGGCTGACATAATCTGACTCAAAGACCTTTCAGTTCAGCTACAAGCAACTTTTGTTTGAACTTTTTTAAAATCTGAAAAACAAGATGAGCTTTCACACAAATTCACTCAATTTTTAAATCTCCTGTATATTTATTACTTAGTTTCACTTGTATGGCCATGCGAATTGCAAGAAATATTCTCATAGCTTTCAAAAAAGCAATGACACTATTCAGAGAACAAGGTGAAAGGAAAATTTCTATTTTCAGATTTTCAGGAAGGGGTGGGTAGGGGGCTGGGAAAGAAGAGGACATTAACAGAGGCTGAACTTCTTAGTAGTTTGCTACTTTATCTAAGCAGTACAAGATTAAAGTTCTCAGTCCTTGTCTGCATGCACCTAGCTCTGCTACACATTTTTCCTATGCTAGAGAGCATACCTCCCAACATTACTTGAAACTTTCAGACACATCTTTATCTACTTGTCTCACAGCATACAAAACATACAACTCCTTCAGTGTTTTGGAATGCACGATTGAGTCCTGTACCAGTGCACCGATTATACGGTAAAATCGTATACAATCCTCATTTTACCCACCGTGAATAATTCTGTAATACTAGTGCTCGAAATGTTCATTATTATCAGGAAATAATGCACACCACTTTGTAGGCAAGACTCTTCCTTTTGTTATACCAGTTTTAATTACTAAATTCAGAAACAGTAACTGCAACACACAGTTCTATACTGTTAGCCCTCTATTTATACTAAGAAGAATGATATGCTAGGTATTAAAAAGGAGTTTCCTAAAATAGAGGTTTTATGGGTGAAAGGAATGCAGAAATAGGCAAAGTGTGCCTTCTCAGGTCTTCTGTCCTGATGTCCCAGTGCAAAGGACAAACTGGAAACTGTGAAGCTATTTGCAAAAGTATTTTGCAACATACAATTTATGAACTATGGAAAGTAACAATATATCAACTCAAGAAATACTGCAAATAGCGAAGTTAATACCTTCCTGAGACATCCTGAACTGGTGCATCTACTGTGCAGGGGGCCCTAAAAGGTAAATGACTGTAAACTTTGTTGCCCACTCAGTCCTCTGTGCTACAGATATGCCGTCCGCACATTCTAAAAAAATTCTTAACATTGTAGAGGTTGTATAGGGATCTGTAACATGAAACGTTTAGGTTGTATGAAGTTTACTCTCCCGCCTCTGCAAACACAGTGGAAGAGACAGCTCTCTTTGCTTGCTCCATAAGATTTTTGTTTCAGAAATGTTTTAAGAAATTTTACCTACTCACCTGGTAATGTGGTTGCTGGGTTAACTGGTGGCACAGAGGTAAGGGACTGACTGACTTGTGGTGGTAATAATGGAACTGTTGGAACACCTGGTGGAGTATACAGGAAAACAACATTAATTTTAAGCATACAACAATTCAGTTCCCTTCCTCAAGGAGCACAAATGAATAACTGCTTACAGGAGAATTACTATTTGTCTTAACCTTAAAATGCTGATGAAGAAAAATAGTATTCTAAATAATACACATTGTATTTCTGATAGAAGTTGTTTGCAATTATTTTGCGAGCAAGTAGGGCACAATTGTAGTACTCGAGCCTTTGCTGTTGATAAAAGTTTGGGGAAGAGAAGATTTTCTTCTATCTTCTGCCTTCTATTAAATTGATGGGAACACCTGTGAATGCAAAAAAGTCGGAAGCCCCACGCATTTCAAAAGTTAGTTACTTTCATACTAACCTGTACTGAGAACATTACTGACAGTAGTTGAGGGTGAACTAATAGAAAGTCCTGAAAGACTCTGTTCAAGGCCTGCTGACACAGGGGGTAATGTGGCTGAGGGATTAACTGATGACAGCTGAACCTTATTGAAAGGAAAAAAAAAGAAAGTTACATCATTAGGGTGTGTTTCCACAAGAACCAATAGAAGCAGGAAAGCAATAGAACATCATAATACATTTTTACCAAGCCAAAGAAGTGACTACAACTTACCTCTGTGAAGCCATCTTTGAGGGGACTGAGAGATGTGCTAGGCAACTGTCCTGGGAGAGAAATTTTCTTTCCCTCTTCAAATGGGCGTGTAGGTATCCTATGCAAATATCCATAACCAATGCCACATCCTAGGCTTTTAAAATATGAACATTTACAAGTCAGTGAAGTGACTTTACAACCACAGACTCCATAGCAAGCAATGCATGAACGACTCAAGATGCCAACAAGTTTCAAGACAAGTTCTGTACAACTTTCCCTCCCCCCAAGCGTCACCTCATTTTCTACAGAGAAATAATCAATATGAGACAACTGAAAGGAAATTCTGCAGCTTTTATCAATAAACATTTAGCACAAAATAAATTTCATGGTTATTTAAACCAAGTAGCTATACTGGGTATACAGCTTGGAATTCAACTCACAGTTGTTATTTGCAGTCCTCTGTTCTGGCTACTGCGCATAACTTACTGTGTAAATACAGCCCCCATTAGTAATTAAATCTGAATTTCAAGTAAATATATAATTTAGTATACCAGAAATGTCTTGGATATAACAACATTCTTTTCCTGTCTTTGTAGAAAACTTAAGCAAGCAGCTTTTAGGCTAGTGCTATAACAAAGTCATCCCATCCCCCTGTAACATATTGTCTCCTTACCTGCCTTCTCCACCCCAGGCAGAATTTGGAGTAATCACCACTTCCCGACAATTATCTGTGTCTGTGTTGTATACATAAAGTTTTAATGGCTTTGCTTCATGCGTTTCAATAAGGGAAAAGAGATCTTCAGACTGCAAAATGAGAAAAATTAATAAGGGCTTTCTTGTTCTTATTTTATCATTTGACATTAGAACAATCAATCTTCCTAGCCCTAACTTCCTGTAACAGAACCTGGTAACTGATAAATGTTGCAGTGGTGCTGCTTTATTGCAAAGCCAACTTTAAGATGTGCTTTGCTAGTACAACCCAGAAAACACGTGGCACAACCCAGATTTCAAGTCTGCTATTCAAAATATTAATATTAGAGTACAAAAACAGTTTCTATCTGACTTCATGAGGATATTTAAGAGCAATTTTTATTTCCAGAACTGCATTTAAGCACCAAGAAGAGGCACGATGCCAGAGCTCCTTCCTCTTTGCATTAACTTACTTCCATTAGCACTGAACAGAGACAGAACTGGGGATTGTTTCAAACTGCCCTGATACTTTTTTTTTTTTCCACTTAAAAAAATTCAAATTCTTATTTTCATATAGTTACCTCATTCATCACGGTATCTGCTCCAATGATATAGTCACTATGAGGTCTAAGTCCAGCTAACGCAGCAGGAGAATTTGGTTCCACTTCCTAGTTTTAAAATGGAAAGTTACAAAACACTCCGTAACTGCCAGGGTGTAGCAGAACAGTCAGAGGTGCACTTCACACAAGTTTTGAGTCAGACAGACAAACTGGTCAAGTTTTCAACACAATTAGTAGAATGGTCATTGAACTAGAGAAAGAGTGGCTAGATGACAGTCTCTTTTGATACTGCTACGAGCAGCTCCGAGTATTGTACAAACCCACTGACTTAAATACAAGATTTGATAATATACTCACAGACATACAGTTCCAGTTCAAAAATCTTTACAAAGCCAAAATCAATGAAGAGAAAACAGACCAATTTGACCTCATGGCTTTTGTACCCCCTTGCAAGTTACTTTTCAGTAAAAAGATACAAAGTTTAACACTAAGCAACAGTGAGAAAAATACTTGGAAGTCTCTACCTACCAAAACATGCCACACATTTTCATTGGCCCCATCAAAGCTGCAGAAACGAATGCTCACGCCCAGCAGGCCCTGTCCACCCCACATGTTGCTGGGGGTCACTGACGTTTCCCTCAGTTCCAGTGTTTTGCTACTGTACACCAGCATTTTCACAGGTTTTTCAACATTTGCTTTCAACAGGTCCTTGAGAGTGTCGTTGTCTTTATTCTGCAAATGTTCAAACAAGAGCTTGGTTTAGTGTTTAACACAGCAAGCATACAGTTCTATAGTACCACTTCTGTACTTCAGAGGTCCTACCAACACCGTGCATTACCAGAATAGGTATCTACAGCTATTTGATAACAAGCTTCCCATCCCTTCACAATTCTAGGATACAACTCCTAGAAAAACCTGGGATTTCACAGTAACAGGTCACACTTCCCAAATGTGAAAGCACTTCAATTAAACCTGTGATTTGATGTACCTCACAGCTTTTCAGAGGCTTTCTTGAATCCAGCTGGACCGGTGGAAGGGCTTACCCACAGCTGTTCTTTTCCACTGCTGTGATGGTTTGTTGTCTCACTACAGCTCTGCTTGAAAACTTTCTCCCATGATTCCTGCCCAGCTAACAGCTTTGACAACAGCTCTTTCAACCAACCTGTTTTGACTGAAATGAGTTTGCAAGTTCTCACACAAGCAGTTTTACAGACAGAACTAGGGGGGCACTAACACAAGCAGCTCGTGGTGGATCAGTAGGTAGTACTACCTCCTGCTGGCACAGATGTCTGCAGAGAGCACATCTGTCTGTCAGCACCTTCTCTGCATTCTACAGCTAAATTTTTCATAGATTGTAGCTACAGGGTGAAGGAAATTAATTTCTGATGCAATTAGGCTTTCTCATTTTAAACTAAGGAGAAATATTTTATATACATTTAAATAAAACAAATGCATTGGTTTACCTATAAAAATAAGATTCTCAACACATTGCTTATATTCAGAGTTATAAAATGGCAACACACTTACCAATCTTGAACCATTAATGGACACGATAAAATCAAAGAATGGCTCCAAACCAGCTCTATGCCCTGGTGAGTTTTCTTGTACCTACCAAAGTTAAACAAGAATTTAGCAAAAGAGTACCAATGCTGATTCATAGATTAGAATTGTATTTCTACTTGTGCAAACTGTAGCTCTAGAAGGTACTGATGTTTGTATGGATGAATTTTAAATGTTCAAATATAATCTTTTGGGTCAAAAAATCCCTCCCTTAATAAAAAAAAAAAAAAAAAAAAGAGAAACATTTAAAAAGAATCAGTAATTTATAAATTATTGAGGAATGACACAACAATAGCCACTCCCAGGGACAAGCAATGCCTAACAGCTGTGTCGGATAAACTGGAGATATTTATTTCAATACAGGAGATTATGGTCAAAGGGCAAGCTTAATGAATTCTGAAAAAGTTGGTTAAAAATCAGTATCCTTCCAAAGAAGTACCAACATTGGACATTGCTTCTTGTCTAATCCTTACTAGAGGAAAAGGAGAGTCACATCTGTGTTAGCACAGGTTGTTATCTCATGATTAAACATCACCTGTTGACATTCTTGAGACATAGAGGGCATCTGTACAACCAATGATTCATTAACATACCAACAAGCTTCAAGAAAAGGGACACAAGCCAATTTTGCAGCCATGGCAGCTCAAATAATTCAACCCTTCTGCTAGGTCAAGGCCTAAGTATTGGCTCCACGTTGCTTCCAGAAATTTAAGGCATGCTTTTAATTCCAAATGAAGTAACTGAGATATTTGCCAGTGTTGTTTTTTTCACTATTACTTTTGTCTGTCAACAATGCATGTAACTGTTAATATGGCTACCAGATTTCTTCTACAGCCTTTGTAGCAAAGAACATCTTTATTTGTGAGCTGATTCATTTTACCCACTGGCTTTTTCTTTTATGTGTTACATTCATCTTCCAAAAGATCTAAAGTGCATTACCCTTTACAGTGTAGTTTCTTACATTACGTTTTATTCTATCTGACTGAACTGGTACAAATCTGCTAGTTTGTTCGATACCGGTCTGATTCTGCAGGAATTTAGTTTTCTTAATATGACTCATCTAGAACAAAATATTCTAATATGAAAAAAAATAAAGCTTGACTACTACTAAAACTGTCCTCTTAGAGTCTATTGATCTCTGCCTGACACATTCATAAAATCAGAGCTTGGAAAAAACTCAGATACATGTGGGTAGCTTTCTGTAACAGACACCAGAAGCTTAGAACATTAGTGTCACATAACCTAAACATTCATTAAAGAAAAAAATAATCTGGAATCAGTAGTTCCAGGGTCACATCATACACACTGGTTGCTGTCCAAGATTTGTAAAGCAGCAAAAAAGTACAAAACCAATATGACCCCAAAGTAACAAAAATCACTGAGGCAGCAGTAACACCCCCAAACTCGACATTTATAATAATTTCTAACTAGAACTTGAAGTGTGTCTACAGAAGTGTCTCTTCAAGATACCTGCATGCTCCTTGGAGAGAATTTCCTACAACTGGCAGTACAGATATTCTCCCTGGGTGCCAAGGGGAGAATTAACTGTACGGAACCACAGCTCTCCATCACCAAAGTAACTTGCAGTCCTGCTAACGAGATCGAAACTACTGCCTCCATGTTACTAACCCAATCTGCTGGCTCAAGATGCCTCTCGCCAAGAATAACCAGAGATCAGATAGCAAGCTGTGCACCGGGTCAGAGGGTAAACGTGCAAGCTAAGCTCCATGTAGCAGACCCTCGGTCACTAGCTGCACAGAAACTCCCAGGCACACTGTGGATGTTGCTTTGACATTGGTGGACTGACCTTAAAGCTCATTTTTAAGTTTAGGTATTAAAACTTTCAATAATGCAGAGCTACCTCAGAATAGCCTCCACAAATAGAAATTTTAGCTTACGAGAAAAGCTACAGAGAGGCTAAAATACACTATATGAATTATTCTTCTCAAATGTAGAAAGCATTTACTTACTAAGTTGGGTACTCAAGGCCTTCTTGCCAAAGAAAGGTTAAATGAACAGTTTCACGAAAGCAGAATTAATGAACTCTGGTTTCCTATGGACATGCTCCATAACTGCACTCTCAGGCTTGAAGTTTCTCTTGTAATTAAGTCATTCAAAACATCCTCTCCTCTGATGTGGTTTTTCTAGTAGCTAATGTAGGATGATCTTGGGCTGATTGTCGCTCTCCCCTCAGTTTAGGGAGGTGACTAATTAAAGTGCAAATACTTTAATAGCCTCTCTCTCTCTCATTCCAGCACCTATTGTATGTGACATATAAGAACTTACATTTTGTGTTTTTAATGAACCTGCCATAAAGGCTTTATAACCAAAATGAAATCAGCAGATGGTTTCAAAAGTTATTGGGAAAACAAGAATTTTAGAGACTGAACATGTCTTTCTAACCTCATCATTAAAAATCAACCAGTAAACCCAGCAAACTGATACATTTATTCAGATAACATATCAGGTTGTTAGGACTGGATACATGTCATGGCCTTGAAATTATGAAAAGCCAGACTTCATTCAGCCAGCAGGACAGCTGCAAAAGCAGCCCTGACATGGGCCACTCTTTATTCAGAGATTCTCCTCCATTTCCAAATGAACTTCTTAAAAAAAACCCCAAACCAACAAAACTCCTACACCCTGACACAATATCCCTCCTCCAGGACCTCTGATAGATTATATCCTGAGCACTGTGAACCAACAGTGACCAGTATTCAATAAGGAAATATTTTAAAATTCGAGGGAGCTCCTAAAACAAATGAGAATTAAATATGTTCAGCATCCATCAATGGCAAGCTCGCTGACACCTGGGATGTATAGATTTCGTAGTCTAAGTAAATTATTTATAGTCTGCCCCAAACTGATGAAGCAACTGCGAGAGTTTCCAAGTTTCAAATGATTAGTTTGCAGAAAGTATCTTCAGAAGTTGAACACCGTCCCCCAAATCCATCACAATCCTGAACATCTCTGCATGGTTTGCTCCTAAGTGGGCATGTAAAAAGAGCCAGGAAACTGAATCTAAAAGAAATCAAGCTCTTATAGTTGCATCAATCATACATGCCCCTCAGAAGCATGTAGCTGCATCAGTTTTGTCATCACATTTCCTCATGCTGCCATGCACAGGTTCAGTCACAAAAAGTTTCCTATTTGCCTAGCTTGTCTGGGCCCAACGTCACTGACGGAAGAGCATTTTTATGCCTGGCAGTCCCAGAAACACGAAACAGAAGTGCTGAGTTCCTTCCGTATGAAAAGACTCCTCTTTAAAGAAGTGACATACTCAACCCTGCAGAACAGTGACACTGACCCCATACAGTTTTTATGTCGCACCACCGTATTTCCAGCCTGCTACCTGCACAATTCATCACCATCACACAGTGCCAAATGCACAGCACAGCCCTCTGCTCAAAGCTCTGTGGCCACGGTTCTCTTCCAGGACGAAACGATAACCAGGGACCTTAGGAATACAAGGGCACAATAACCTTCTTATTAATGATGGAAACAAGGATTCCATGTACATAAACTCTAGGCCTCCTGAGCAATCTGGCTACGCGCAGCTTTGCTATATTCCCCAAGTAGGTATTCAGTAACTTGCCTTTGTAACTAAATAAGGACTGAGAAATAATCAAATAATGACATCTACAACAGATGCCAGTGCAGGCAAGATACCACCCATGGCAGCTTGGGAAGCCTAATTGTCTCAAAGCCAGCTGTTATTTCAGATACGCAAGTTACAGACACCTGTGGGTAAATGCCATGACTCTCTAACAGCAGAGAAAAGCGGTGGAACAGACTACACGGAGAAGCTGTGGAACTGCCACCACCGGAGCCTTTTAAGAGCAAGCAAAGAAAACCTCTATCAAGAATGCTGAATCTCAGAGGCAGAAAAGGGCTGTATGACCCTTTCAGCCTTGTACAATGCTGCAGGACTTCAGTTTCTCACTGAGATGACAGCACTTGGACATCAGGGCACATAGATCACACACTAATTATTTCCCTTTTAATTCACTGTCAAGAGTTAAACATGGAAAAGGTTTCAAGGTCAAGACACTAATTTTAATCTGCATTACTAAAAAGACTTCTTTTCTGGTAAGTACATAAAGTTTCTCTTTGCTGAACACCTTTCCCGACACTATCACTCTATGCCTACACAGTATATAATGTACATTACACATTATAATAAAACTCCTTAGCAACACAATGGTCACAAATTTAAGCCCCGACCGAGCAGTGCTAAAGTACATGGAAACCCTGATTTTCAGAGGCAGATGAAGGCTCTCGCCACTTCTAAGTGGACACTAGTAGAAGTTATCTGACTTTCAGAAGTTTAGCTTCAAGCACTAAATACACAACTGTCAAGGAGCAGAAACTATGAAGCTTTTTTTTCCCCCCATATTAAGAAATGCTTCCTAAGGAATATTTACTTTATTATCAACAAATGCTGAAAGAAGTTTTCCAGTAGTTCTTCCACCCACTCAGTAATTGGTAATAAAATTTCACTATGTATCATGTTATACACAATTCCTTTTAGGTCTGATAGAATCTATTTTATTTCTGTCAGCTATTTTAACATATTACACAGTGTAACTGTATTGAATTTCCTTATGAAACACTCAGTTTTCAAGAGAAAAAGCTTTATAAGCTTTTTGTAGGAAAATAGATTTCCTATATGTAGCATCAAATTTTATATTAGCACAGAGAATTTAACTTGAGCTTTTAAAATGTGAGCCTCCCTTGAAAAGTTAAGTCATCCCTTTACAGCAATACATTTGTATCTCTACTATAACAAACTGAGGCACCCAAGTAAAAGTTAGAAATCTAAACTTTGGGCAGTGCTGTTCAATATCTTTTAGAGAAAACAGTACTTAATACAGCAGCATACAAATCTCTTGCAGATAAAAATTCTTACATTACCTATTACTTGAAGAAATTGTCAAATGATTACAACAGCCTGAGCAAACTACAGCAGTTTTGCATTGCTGAACAAGAGTTACTGAAGATTTTGCTTCATTCTGTTTTGAAGAGCAGAAAGAAATGCATTCT